AGAAGAAGTTAGAGTTTACCAAATTGATAAATCACTTAGTAATTAATTTTTATTTTTATCAATGAAAATATTCTTATAAATTTTCAATTATATCTAGATGAATCTCAGAGGTTGAGGGTTGATTATGAATAAAAACAAGAATTTCAAAAGAAGAAAGATGATATCTGAAGAGGGAATTGAAAAAAAATGAAATTAAAATTATTAAATTTAATCAAAGGAAATAAAAAATTAAATACTATATATTAAATGAATCCAATAAAATTAAAATTATTATAATAATTTAATATTTCTTTTGTTCACATTAGGTTAAATACCCTTTTTGGTCCTTCTACTATAGGAAAAAACCCCTTTTTGGTCCCTATACCGAAAAAATCCCTTTTTTGGTCCTTATTGTTCACAAATCCGACTCTTTTTTGGTCCTTCCATTAATTTTTGCTCATGTGGCACGTTAACTTAATGGGAACAGCTGATGTGGATATATTGATACCCTCCACGTCACCCTCCACGTGCAGGAAAAAGAAAAAGAAAAAGAAAAGGTTAAATGCTAAATTTGATCCCTCAACTTTATAAGTTTGCATTTTTTTATCCTTAGATTATTCTTTTTCACTTTTTTTATCTTTTAACTTTAAAAATTACACAATTTTGATTCTTTCGTCAGTTAAACATGACGTGGCAATTAAATAATTCTATTTGACATTTTCTTTTAATTTTTATAATGACATGACAATTATATATATTATAATTATGTTCTATAGATAAATAAAAATATCACGTAGATAAACATTTATATTTTAATTAAAAAATAAAATGACAGTATGATCCTCACCTCCCATTCCCTCTTCTTCCCCTTTTTTCTTTCTCTTTCTTTCTTTCCTACTCATATCGACTGGGTTCCGACGAGTTGGGTAGCTCGGTTCGTCGAGCACTACTTTCTATACTACATCTCACTTCAAAACTTTTGTGCAGAAATTCCTCCAAACCCTCCGAAATCTCCCAGCTAATGTTGATTACCTTCCTTTTCCGTAACTCTTCCGCAAAACACGAACATGAAATCCGCTCTGATCGATTCGATCCTGTCCATCTCGATCATTTCATCCGATCCAATGTTTCTCACTTGCTGAAATCCGATCTCCTTGTTGTTCTCGCTTGTTGGTCCTGGTTGCACAAACCCAATCTTGTTGGTCTTGGTTGCGCGAATCTGTCCCTGCTGGTCGCGCGAACCTAGCCCTACTGGTCGTGCGAACCCAGCCTTGCTGGGTTAGTCGAAACCCAGTTGCTGGGTTCGCGCAACCAGCAAGGCTAGGTTTGACCAACCCAGGCTCGACAAAACTAGCAAGGCTGGGTTTCGAAGCTAAGTTCATGTTTTTTCATTTTTCTTTCTCTTTTCATTTTCAGTTCTTGATAAATTTGAAAGTTGATTTACAATTTGATTGCATTTTTCTTGGAATTGGATTAGAGTTTGAATGATATTGTTTATTGAAGGGTTAATTTGATTTGATGAGATCTACTGGCTTGATGAATCAGTGGCTTTAATGAAACCAGTAACTGAGTTTTGACGAACGCAGCAAGGTTGGGTTCAAGCAACCAGTAAGGCTGGGTTTCGACAAACCCAGCCGATCTGGGTAGGAAAGAAAGAAAGAGAAAGAAAGAAGGGGACGAAAAGGGTTTGAGAGTTTAGGGTAATAATGTAATTTTATGTTTAAATTAAAATATAAATATTTATCTACGTAACATTTTTATTTATCTATATAACATAATTATAATATATATAATTGTCATGTCATCAAAAAAATTAAAAGAAAATGTCAAATG